CAGATCCAGCTTCAAACAAACTGCTTATTTGTCAAATCAGCTCCCTGAACTGAATCACTGTGCTCTATGAGCAGCTGTAGAAGCACAAGGGCAGGGGAGGAACGAATGGATAGGAACACGGCATGACATGAAGTTGGAATTACAGGATCTTCTACTATAGGCATCAGGTCCAAGTATCTCATTCTGCAGGTCCCAAAAGTCTAGATGACTGGTACTTCTCATGGATCAGAGCATAAACACTCATGGACAAAATCACACTTATGCCCTACAATTCTTTTAGATAAAACAACTGGTACAAATTAGGATGAGGTTGAGTCCTATAATGGATGGCTTCCACTTTCCTCTTTAGTTTAATTTCTCCCTAGCAAACCTAATTCAATTTGCAAATGGAATGTATCCTCCATTGTTCAGTGAGAATTCCAATGCATGTTTCAGTCACTACAGAATTATTTGTGGGTATTTTGTTCTTCTGTTCCCTAGACAGCATGATACTGGGAGTGCAAAATGTGAAGGACACTAGCTTTCAATGATACATTAAAAAAAAAAAAAAAAAGCAAGCTGGAATCACACAGACTTACTCCACACTGTTCCATTAATCTCTGGTCTTCCAGAAGATCTCATGTTCCAACAACCATTTCAGTGGTTTCTGAATTCTCTTAATTCTAAAAAGCAAATGAGGAATGCAGGATCCTATTGAAGTGAAATTCAGCATTCATGCAATTAAAAATCAGAGGAATCAAATGCAAAACATGCTCCTCCATGATGTGGGTCATACAGTGTTTTAAGAGAGCTGTGGTTTCTGTTGGCATCAAATATTTAAAATTATTTTCTCTTTTGAGCATGTTTACAATAACCAGGTATTTGCATTAACCCTTATTTTAGAGAGCACTGTATTTAACCTCTTCCACAAGGAATACTAAAACGATTACCCTGTTGACAGGCCATCTCTCTTGGAATTTTTTTGATTAAATAAACTGGAGGGCAAATTGCAGTTGACAGGTTAGTAAGATTAGGCCTGTTTCGGCAAACCACTGATCGCTAAATTCTCTTTTAATATGGAAGTACTGTGCTGTTTTGCAATCAGGCCTACTATGTCTTCAAGGAGCAGCATGCTTTCCCTCAGTTTGAACAGTACTTTCATAAACACAGAAGTTGGAACGTATCAACAAAAAAATAGGCTGAAATACTTCTGAAGAGTAAAAAGAGAGCAGGAAAGAAGGCAACTTGCCCCTTTTTTTCTTTCTTTCTCTTGGGCCATGTGGATTTATTGTTACCATTCATGCAATGCTCCTAATAAGCTCTGTACTGTTTAAATTGAGATTTTCTTAAAGTGGGAACAAGAATCATCAAGCAGTTTCTAGAACATATCATAAAGTGGATATCCATGGACTGGTGAAATAATTTTGCCTACACACAAACACTAATCATCAGATCAAACCTTGAAGTAAGAATACACCATATGCTATAGTACCTCTCTCTCAACTAACAGAAAAACTAAGACTACTCAGCTTTATTTTGCTAAATACCTCATTAATTCTCCTGAAATTTGAGGGAGCACTAATTGGCCCTAATTACCTTAACCAGCCTCACCTGGGGCCTCTACCCAAGCGCACCCCGCAACAGGGCTGCATTTAAGCCCAGGCTGACTCCTTAGTGAACTATGGCCTAGGTGTCCTCTTCTTTTCCGTCCTCTCTCCTCTTTCTTGGCTATTTGGATTTCCTGGCTGCATCTCAGGCCTGGCCTCCTTTGCCTGATGACTACATGACCTATTTGCTGCCACCATCTTGCTCTCCTTACCTGCTTCTAAGTATCCGAGGTTTGCATCTTGGTGATGTTGCTTCTTAGACTGCTGTGGCCATGCTCTGCTGGTAATTTGCCTGTTCCTACGGTGCAGACAGAGCAGGCTGAGAGCTGCTGGTACCTATTAGGTTGCTAAGGCCCTGACATCAATTTTGCTCTACAACATATCTCTCAGTATCAAATACAACCTCTTCCCCAAGTATGCTGTCAGCTCTACTTGCTTTAATCAAACAATAAATAAATTTTAGTGTGGCTCATCATGTTAAATGAAAGCAATAGGGGGCTAATGAGCATTGTGAATGAGCAATTAGCATGGCAATCAGAGCCATTCTCGGAGTGGCTAAACCTCTTCTGCATCTTTGGACAATCAGAAGCATATATAGATGTAACCTGGTCTATTAAATCTAATTGAGAGCATATGTTTAGATGTCTAAACTGAGTAGAATCTCTTTATCAAGAATATTGTACACTTAATTAAGAACACTTCTGGTTCAGCTTGTTCAACTGGTAAAGGTGTATTCTGTCCTCCAGTGGCAGAGACTGTATGTGCTACCAGATGTAATTTTTTTAAAACTACAATGCTACACTTTTTTTCTTTTTTATTGTTGTTTTTTGTTCCTTTGTTTTTGTCACAAAGGGGAAACGTACCTGATATGGGAAAGTTGCTGGTGGCTTCATCTTTGCTGCTGATTTAATGTGGTTTAACACTTAACATCCACTTTGTTTGGAAGAGATGATTGTTTCCCATCTCTGCTCCTCTCTGATTCTCTGTTCCTTAACTCTTGGATCACATCGTGTTGGGAGTTGAAATGCTCATGGGACCATTTTTTCCTCAGTCCTTGTAAAAAGTTGCAACCAGTCTGAAACAGCATGAGAAAAATGTGTACTTAGAAAGGGTGGCAGGGAGGAGTGGGAATCTCACTGCTAAGCATGCATCTTCAAAGGACAAAAGATAGATGGGAGAGAAATATACGGATAGGAGGATAGGAGATAGGAGCGAAAAAAAAATACCTAAAAAAACTTCACTTTTTATAAGTATTTTTAAATGACTCATTTTTCTGCATGTTGTTAATAATAATCACCTCACCAGAAAGCCTTAGAAGAGATAAATTGCTAAATGCCGCTTTGCAGGTGAAGAATCAGACAAGGTAAGAACGTCACCAGATGCTACTGGTGGTCAGGGTAAAAATATAGGAGAATCAGAAGTTCTTTGCTCCTATCCTTGATTTCAGTGTCATTTTCAAAATTTTTCCCTGGGTTGCAATCAAGACAGAATGTGTATTCTCAATTCCCTTTATATATTTATTTTAGGCACAATTATTTTTTATGCTCAAATTTCCTAGAATCAAATAAGATTAAACGTTTTTATTCACAGTTTGTATCACTTCTGAAATCTTTTATTTTTTCTGAGTGATCACAGTTCACACAGAACTATGAGATTAGCATTATAATAAATAGAATATATTAGAATAAAGGCCCATTTGTTTGTGTCAAGAGATTACCCGAGAATCTCAGGTTTGTTCTCTTGTCATCAGAACTGCAATGGGAGTTAACAGGCCCTGGCAGCAGAAAGAGCTCTGCAAACCCTCCTAGGGCCTCCTGACACCCTAATTTTCTATGCCTTGGGTCATGACTTTTGCATATGGCAAGGTTACAAGGAGAGAAACAGAGTGAAAAGGAATAGGTTGAGATGCCCAGCTCAGCAAAAGCATACTCTAAAAAGCAGGGCAGGTTAGCAATCAGCACATGCTAGTGACAGGCACTGTGGTCTTTCTGCTCTGCCCTCACTCGGCTGCCTCACCTTATTTTCCTTATTTTCTTTTCCCAGTCCTAGGCTGCTTGTCCTAGATACCCATTACTTCCTTGGCTCACAGCACATCTCGAGTTGTCCTGGTGGGATCCTGTCGCAGTGCTGGTTTTCTGGGACTCTGCAGACTCCTGGATGATCTGCAGGGTCCCAGCCCTCTAACCAGCCAGACTGTTGTGGGGTTTAAAGCTGCACACAGCTGTGTGCGTTAGTGAGCTAGGAAATGTTTTCAGAGCGGGCAGATTGAATGGTTAAAAATAAGCTTAGACAACTTTTCTCCAAGAGAGAGCCACCACAGGCTTGTCAAGGGGGCTCAAGGTGCAAGCAGCAGTATTTGGTACAGTTCAGGTCTCTGGAGCTGCACAGTTGCATTAAGCCAGGCCTCCTGGCTTAAACAGTTCTCCTGAGAGAACCATTCTAGATAAAAAAAAAAAAAAAAGCCA